ATATTTAATTTATTATCATCTGTATGAATTCAAACATGTTGTAATCAAATAATTACATGTAGATACGTAGATTGTTTTATTTAAGTGTATTTAATAGGTAGTTGTTTAAATTAAATATTTGTGAAAAGTGATTTTTTATATATTCAATAGCTTTTTCATTTACTTTTCAATAGATTACTCGATGTCACTCATTTGATGACAATATTGAACAAATAAATGTAATAGTATTCGTGATTAATGTTTAGAAAGTTATTATAATAAACAAAAAATAATGCCTAGATAAAAACTTAATTTAATGAAATATGTGTTTTTATATGTAAAACACATTTGGAATAAAAACGTTTTGTACTATAAAATATTGTGAAAAGCGTGCGTAATGTTGTGCATAATATGCATGTGTCTTACATATAAAAACACATATTTCATTAAAATAAGTTATATGTTTAGGGATAAAATAATATTATGTTTAGGGATAAAAATTTTAGGGAAATATTTAAATAAATCTTTCATTTAGGCTAAATTTAGAAACTTTAGCTTAAAGTTTTATATGTTTTTAAATTAGATACTCTAAAGTAGCTAAAATATATAATTCCTGACGATGACAAAGGTTTGAAAAAATTGATTTTATTGAGATGAAAATTTACTCGTGAATAAACAATTAATAAAAAAGAATAAATATACAAAAATTATTTATGCAACTCAAACCATTTTGTACCAGGATCATATTTTGGGCCAATATTCAAAACCAATTTGCGTTATAACTAAACAAGTTATTCAAAAAATTTCAACGGATTCTTGAATTAAATGTCAAGTTGTAGTAATATTTAAAGTGTGTTTTCATTAAAAATTGATTTTAGTGACCAAAAATTACAAAATGGTCAAAATGACCTTCTTGCCCTCGTGGAACGTAAGGTTTATTTGCATATTATTGTACAATTTTTAAAGGTCCTTTAATTGATATATACATTGATTTACGTTCCACGAGGGCAAGATGGTCATTTTAAGCATTTTGTAATTTTTGGTTACTAAAATCAATTTTTACCAAAAACACGCTTTTAATGTCAATACTTCTTGACATTTAATTCAAGAATCCGTTGAAATTTTTTGAATAACTTATTTAGTTATTACGCAAATTGACTTTGAATTTTGGCCCAAAATTTTATCCTGGTACAAACTGGTTTGAGATACATAAATAATTTTTGTATATTTATTCTTCTCTATTAATTGTTTATTCACGAGTAAATTTTCATCCCAATAAAATTAAATTTTTCAAACCTTTGTCATAGGCTAAATTTAGTCCTAAAGATTCCCTAAATTTCACCACTACAATCCCTACATATGTTTAATTATATTTTACTAGAATATATCATAGTATAGTATATCAAATGACATTACTTGTAAACATCGCGCAATTCATTTAGTATATCAATTGGTATTAATGGCTGCAAATCAGACCAGCGTTTAATGTGACGACCCGTACAGTACTGGACGTAATACACATATGGGGCCAACCCGTGATCCCGGGCCCGGAATATGTCTCTATGAAACAAATCAGTGACACTGGGTTCGGACGGGTTAAAAACCACATAATTCCTCACATCGTCCACATAATGTAGCTCGGTCACTTTCTCGTGCTTCTCGCACAGGCCCTTAATTATGCCTCTTCTCTGATTTGGTAATTACATAAAAGTGTTAAACATTAAACTAATTATAATAATAGATCATAATCAAATTACTGCATATTGGTAGTTAGCCTTACATTTCCGTCCCATAGTTCAGACATTTGTTCAAAATTGAATCTCAATCTAAATGCCGATGAATTCAACGGATGGCCGTTCAGTACCGGAAATATGGAGTCAATGTTAGAGTGACCGAACCGAAACGCGGCCGCACCATACTCTTGCACTGTGTCGGGGCTAACATCGGGGTTGTATTCACTGAATTTACCATAAGGTCTAACGTTGAGATCGAAGAAATCCATAAACTTCTGGTTAAATATGGAGGGCAAATATTCAGCGTACGTTATTTGCGCGTATTCCGCGAGTAATAATCGCCTAACAAAATAGAATTAATATAAACAGAGTAGATAAAATCAGCCAATGTCCGGAAACGACCGAGTTTTGTCTATAAACATTATACGCGTGATTATAGTACTATATATGACTTTGACGAGGTCTCTGGGCATTAGTAAAGTTACATTTTCATTTCAAACAAAAACATTCATTTTCACTATTAATGTTCATGAAGGTATGACAAACATGCATTAAATTAAAATAACTTGCAAAACACAATGTTGTAAACAATTTTTTCACCTAGCTTCCTGGTAAAGTATCTCATCGGTCCAGTGTTGGTTGATTAGCGCCAGACCATCGCAGTGTTGATTATGGCGCAAAAGTAACGTGGTTAACATTGAGGTAACCACCACCTGCTGATTCACGCGATTACCATCGCCCCCCTTCATGCACCCGAGCCATGGCCTGTCCACCGGTGGTGTGCATCGGTTCAGGTCAAGTATGTCCTGATCGCGGGGTAGTATCGCTTCAGGCATAATATCGTCGCCTTTTAACGATTTATTTGTTTGTAATTTTCCTGTTGTGAACAATCAATGAAATAAACACATGGTTAAAAATAGATAAAACCCATTTGTTAAGCAAAATAACGCCAGACCTTTGCTAAATGTACGTAAACTACGGGCCCGGGCATCGAAAAACCCATATAACTGCGACAGGTCCATCACGGGCGTAGTGGCCGTAATCTGGTCCCGGGCACCTGTATGTTGGGTCAAATATTAGATCATTATTTGTACATAGATATCATATTTAAAACTTAACCAATATTATTTACCTAAGCGACAGGTATTTCCGGCCATAGACCGCGAGTCCACAATACAGGTCTGATTGTACGCCTGAAGCAGCGGATCAGAGGGTATAGGGGTGTAGACAGAGGGACACTCCGGGTGCTGTGAGATCCGACAACACGGTAACTCATCACCAAAATATTGCAGGGATTTAATGGTGTCGTGAGCCATCACTTGACCCCATATCATATGCATCGACGAGCGGCGCCTGTCGTGTGGAACAGTGTGTCGGTGCGGAGCCGACAACTGGTTGCTTATAAGCCGTTCGTTGGGCAACGGTTGCCGTCCGTCAATCGCGCGCCGGCGCTCGGCATTTACGCCGTCGGCAAACGCTGGCGGCAATAGCCGTCGCATTGTATGGAAAGCTGCGCCCCAATTGGTTTGGCGCTCATTATTGCACTTGCCGTCAATGCGCCGGTATTTATAGGTAGGGTTACATTGGATACCAAAGCTTTGAGAGTATTGCAGTTCACAAAACTGGCCGTCTGTGTCGACCACTCCCGGCACACGAACATCGGGTAAGTTTATTATCGTATCGTATTTTGTTAAACATTTTCTAATAATATAAATAATATATAATTGTCGACATTTTAGTAAATTCTATTCATATATGAGATACAATAGTTACACAATGAACAATCTAGTTAAAACATGTCCTAGATAATCCATGGTATAAATTTATGGTTTCATTGTAATACATATATTCTGGCTAATACGATAAATTCTCATGCGAAAGTATTCAGTGGCGTTTATTTAACTATATTTTTACATTATACTTCGTTAATAATTTGATATTTATTAGTACCATTATAGAAATAGTACAACGATAGATTATAATATTAGATTACATTAAAATAGATATTACATGTATTAGATATAATATCCTTCTTACATTTGGGCTAGGTTTCTTGTGACCAGCTCGTTGAATTTGGTTTTGTAATTAGCATTGGTTATGAAATGACTAAAATTTCCCAAATATGGATTATCGGCCACCAATTGCCGGTCCATTTGACGCTGACTATTAACCCCCTGAATGGCTACCTCAATAGCCACTCGTATGTCCCGATCGGTAATATCGGTAATATTTCCTACCGTTTCTGGCGTACAATTGCCCACAAATACAGTGTCTGTCAAATACTGTCCGTATATTTTGTTTAGTTCCGGGGAATATTCTTTAATGTAATCAAACCCTTCTTTTTGATGCCTCGTTAAGAGTTCCGGAATTATGCCATAATTTATACCTAAATTATTAATGAACATTGTAACCATAAAGCATAATCTATACCATGGTTTATCTATAAATAAAATATTATTAATAGCTTAATGACATACCATTAAATTGACTAGCAACATGTTCATCAATGTAAAATATACACAATGTAAACAGATAAATAACAAAGTAAATATTATTTTTGATCATTATATTTATTTATAAAATTATTTTTTTTAAATAAATAACATTAACTTTCATATCATTCAACTAATCATTAAAATTACATTAATTAAATAATAATAATTTTAAAATTAAAAAAATTCTAAATCTCAATTTAATAGATTTTATTAGCTTATAAATAAAACATTAAAAATGTTAATATTTTAGATCATTAAAATGGTTGTTGAATTGTTTGCAAACCTTATTAAATAAAAGTGTTAGATGTACAAAAAAAAGTATTTTTCAAGTAAGTAAACTAATAACAAACAAAACACATGTCTAATGTACCTGTATTTTAATGTGCTTATAGATTATTATTATTACCATAATATTGCTTGCATTACCCGCACCCATGAATAACCCGCACTTCAAAAATTTGAAATATTTGATAATTAAAAAATAATAATATAATATTTATAAATTGTCAGTTTCATAATTTAAGTAGAAAAGCCAACATTATGGGTCTCTCTCTCTCTCTCTCTCTCTCTCTCTCTCTTTCTTTCTTTCTCACTTTCTCTCTCTCGAATTATAATAATCAAGGTAAAACATGCAAATTTTAATTTGACCCTAAACCTATTAATCCTAAACCTGATAATTGTTTAAATACAGGGCAAATGTCCAGAAAAATCGCTACTAAACCCGTGTAAATGCGGGAAAGATGTCATCGTATGTGACGATAACCAGAGTCAGGACTTGGGGGCACTTTTCCAGCACCAAAGACTGACGTGACGGGTCTGCCAAAGAAAGACAAACACTTCCAGACATTTCATCTATAAAGTGGCGACAAAACACTGGATGTATTCAAAGACAACACTTTCCGTGACATCACTTTCGACAATATTTACATACAATACGCTCACAGTCTAAGGGAAATACAGCCAAACGCTTTCGGCGCCAACTATTGGACAATCAAACAGTTAATGCTAAGCAACAACCCAGCGCTGGGCCAGGGCGCCACTCCTCAGGCCATATGCGATGTGTTTAACAAGTTTACCAAGCTGGAATCGCTGCGAGTATGCAACAACAATATTACCGAGATCCCCTCAAACGCGTTTGGCAAACATGATAAACTAACCCAACTGAGTCTGAGTGGTAAATCAATCGCGCACCTGGGTGAAAATGCGTTTATAGACCTGACCTCGCTGGAATGGTCATTCATTAGACATCGATCAATTATATACCAGAATATGCATTTTATATCAACGAGCCCACAACCGATTATTCCATAGATTATACAACATTAATAGCAGTAGTTTTGCTTTGCATTCACTCATTAGGACCAAACGTAAGATCGCAATAAACCTATAGGTTTTCAAACGGCCCAACCCTATCGCATATTTGGACGAAAGCATTTTCAAGCCTTTTATTGAAGCACATTATGGTAATAACTTGTGTTAATATCGGCAATCAGTATATAGACTGCGAGGACTGTCGCACGGCATGGGTTAAAGGGGTGCCCAGAAATTATGACCATATTGTGAAGTTTACGTGTGAAGGCGGCCGCGCTATCGATGATAAGACTATTTTTAATAAATGCTAATTTAATTAAAATTATGTTATAATTTAGTTATAAAACGCTATTAGTTTACAATACTTTAGAACTGTAGTTGAATAATATGGATGAAGGTAAATAATATTCAATAATAAATAAACAAATTTTTTATTATTATTATTACATTAAAATCTTATTAAATTTAGATTATATTTATTAAAAGTCATAATACAAATCATAGTTATTAAATTGCTAGTGCATATTAAGCAACAAGAATAAGATCTTTTTAATAATTTATTATTGATTTTAGTAATAATGAATTTATAGCGTATTAATGTACTGTACACAATAAATAAGATTTAACTGCCTGTAGTTTAATATTAATTATTTAATAAATAAAATCTATGTTTCTGTCATTCAAACCGCTATTAATACGACTTGTTTTGCACGAGTCGTCGCAATCGTCGACCCCTTCAGACCAAAGCCGGTAATCAATATCCGGGAAGTGATCGCATGGTATCCGCGGGTTATCATTAGTTGGGGTATACATTGCATGCAATTGCATCACATTGAAGCCACTTGTTTTGCACAACAGGTTAGCCAATGACGCCCTCGACTTGATATTATCCAATTGGGCTAAAAATGTAATCAATTAGTGATTTATTTTAAATAGTTTTAAATGTAATTAAACAAATCTAAATTCACAATTAATATTTTACCAATAGTAAACGATCCTGCCTGAGACGAGTGTTCATAGAAAAATCGATCACCAAATTTAAAGTGATAAAACTGTATGCCATTAATGCAGGCCAACGTTGGTCCTAACGTCGAGCCCTCCATCACAGTCTCTGCCAAACCGCCCACTATTAGGTCGATGTCACGAAAATCTCTGATGGTTTAAAATACCACATGTTTTTAAATTGTTTTATATATTAATAAAATTAAGTTATACATGTCTAATTACAGTTACAATCACAACTATCCTGTCCTAATATATTACTGTAAAACCATAGTTTCTCAGCAGGGTATGAGGGGTATTCAAGGGTAACATATTTTATATAAAATTTATTATCATTTTTATGCATTATTTATATGCCAAATAATTAAATATGTAGGTTTTTTAATTAAGTGTATTTAGTTGTTTAAATTAGAAATGTAAGTGTTTTGTATATGTTTACAATATATCAGATTACATTACTTGTAAACGTCGCGCAACTGATTTAGTATATCAATCGGTATTAATGGCTGCAAATCAGACCAGCGTTTGATGGGATGACCCGTACAGTACTGGACGTAATACACATATGGGGCCAACCCGTGATCCCGGGCCCGGAATATGTCTCTATTAAACAAATCATCGACTCTGGGATGGGCAGGGTCAAAAAACACATAATCTCTCACATCGTCCACATAATGAAACTCGGTCACTTTCTCGAAATTCTCGCACAGGCCCTTAATTATGCCTTTTCTCTGGTTTAATAATTAAGGGTTAAACATTAAACTAATTATAATAATAGATCATAATCAAATTACTACATATTGGTAGTTAGCTTTACATTTCCGTCCCATAGTTGAGACATTTGTTCAAAATTGAATCTCAATAAAAATGACGATGAATTCAACGGATTGCCATTGAGTACCGGAAACATTGCGTTAATGTTGGAATGTCCAAACCGAAATGCAGCTATGCCATACTCTTGCATTGTGTCGGGACTAACATCGGGGTTGTATTCACTGAATTTACCACGAGGTCTAACGTTGAGATCGAAGAAATCCATAAACTTCTGGTTAAATGTGGAGGGCAAATATTCAGCGTACGTTATTTGTGCGTATTCTGCAAGTAATAATCGCCTAACAAAATAAAATTGATATAAACAGACTAGTTAAAATCAGCCAATGTCCGGAAACGATCGAGTTTTGTCTATGAGCATTATAGACATTTGTTTGAAATTAAAATGTACCAATGCCCAGAGACTAGAGTGACCAACCGTACAGGTTTGGCCTGTACAGTACAGGTTTTTGACAATCTGTTCAGTGTACAGGCAGGGTCTAGCCTGTACTATATAATGTCCAGACGAGAAATTGATAAAAATTAGATCATATATTATACTTTCATAGCAATATTATTGGTTTCCAATTTAAGATACGCAATTTTCTTTTAATTTTGTCAAAATTGTAGTTGAAATAAGTTTATATTTTGAATTTCAATTAATTTATCTCGTCATAATATACACAATCCTATTTGTACAAGAATGCGATGTATTGTATGTACAAATTACGATTACCTATAATTATGCTCTGTTGAGAAAATTAGTGTCTAGGTAAGCGTCCAGGGAAGTTTACTAAAATGTACAGGAATGTCTTGGAATTTATAAAGAAAGTGTGGGAAATGTACAGGTTTCTCACTTTTCGAGTTGGTCACTCTACCAGAGACCGCCGAGTTATGACTAGTAACTATAGAACTGGCCATAACTCGGCAGTCTCTGAGCATTGGTACATTCTGATTTCAAACAAATAAATTACTTTTAATCTTTTGTATCAGACAAACTATAACATGATAAATAATTGTTATACCAAAAAACTCAATTGCATAGCGTTTTCAGCTCATAGTTTACGAATAAAATCCGAGTATAACTTATAATAATCACATATGTTAATTGTAAACTATTATTTTTCACCTAGCTTCCTGGTATAGTATCTCATCGGTCCAGTGCTGGTTGATTAGCGCCAGACCATCGCAGTGTTGATTATGGCGCAAAAGCATCGTGGTTAACATTGTGTTGATCACCACCTGCTGATTCACGCGATTACCATCGCCCCCTTTTAGGCACCCGAGCCATGGCCTATCCGCCGGTGGTGTGCATTGGTTCAGGTCAAACATGTCCTGATCGCGGGGTAGTATCGCTTCGGGCATTATATCGTCGCCTTTTGTTGATTTATTTGTTTGCAATTTTCCTGTTATGAGCAATAAATTAAATGAACACATGGTTAGAATAAATTAAACTTAATTGGCAAGTAAAATAACGTGCTGACCCCCGCTAAATGTACGTAAACTAAGAGCCCGGGCATTGAAAAACCCATATAAGTCCGACAGGTCCATCACGGGCGTAGTGGCCGTAATCTGGTCCCGGGCACCTGTAAGTTTGGTCATATATTAGATCGTTAATCTTTATTTGTACATACATGTAGATATATTTAAAACTTAGAATTTAACCAATATCATTTACCTAAGCGACAGGTATTTCCGGCCACAGACCGTGAGTACGCAATACAGGTCTGATTGTACACCAGGAGAAGCTGATCAGAGGGTACAGGAGTGTAGACAGAGGGACACTCCGGGTGCTGTGACGGCGGACAACACGGTAACGCACCACCAAAATATTGCAGGGCTTTAATGGTGTCGTGAGCTATCATTTGACCCCATATCATATGAGTCGACGATCGGACGAGCTTGTCTTTTTGGTCAATTTGTGGCCGCGTAGCCGACAACTGGTTGCTTATAAACCGTTCGTTGGGCAACGGTTGCCGTCCGTCAATCGCGCGCCGGCGCTCGGCGTTCACGCCGTCGGCAAACGCTGGCGGCAATAGCCGTCGCATTGTGTGAAAAGCTGCGCCCCAATTGGTTTGCCGCTCATTATTGCACTTGCCGTCAAAGCGCCGGTATTTATAGCTAGGGTTACACCGGATACCAGGGCTCTGAGAGTATTGAAGGTCACAATAATGATCGTTGTCTGTGTCGACCACTCCTTGTGCTTGAAGGCCCGGTAAGTTCATTACGGTATCATATTTTGACAGACATTTTCTAATAATATACATGAAATATAATTGTCAACACTTTGTAAATTCTACTCACATATTAATATTATGAGAATATATTCAATATTCACAGTTCCACTAGAGAATTATCACACATTTATTTCTTACAGTGATAAGTGTAATTTCTCATATAATGCGCGTAATGTATACCAGAGGGAAGTTGTGGGACAATTGCCGTAGTGAAAATTATCAGAGTAGATTGTAATATGAATACAAAAAATCTAATTAAAACATGTCCTAAATAACTCATTGTACATTAAGCATTATCGTTTCATTATAGTACATACATTCTAACTAATGAGGTAACTTTGCATACACACGTATATAGTGGCGTTTATTTAACTTTATTGTTACCTATTCGTTAAAAATAATTGACATAATTGTTACCCTTACATATTAATTTAATACAATGTTTATTAAATAAACAAACATACGAATAGACATAATATGTGTAAAGTATATACATATTATGTATTAATATACTGTATTATGTAATATAATGCTTACATTTGGGCTAGATTTTTTGTGACCAGCTCGTTGAATTTGGTTTTGTAATTAGCCTCGGTTATGAAATGACTAAAATTTCCCAAATACGGAATTTGGGCCACAAATTGCCTGTCCATTTGGCGCTGACTATTGACCCCCTGAATGGCCGCCTCTATAGCCACTCGTATGTCCCGATCGGTAATGTCGGCAATATTTCCGACCGTTTCTGGCGTACAATTGCTTACAAATACAGTGTCTGTTAAATATTGTCCGTATATTTGGCTTAATTCCGGGGAATATTCTTTGGTGTAATCAAAACCCCCTTTTGGTGACCCCGTTAAGAGTCCCGGAATTATACCACCACTTATGCCTAAATTATTAATTAACATTTTAACCATACAGCATAATCTATACCATGGTTAATGTACAAAAAAATATTATCAATAGCTTAATGACATACCATTAAATTGAATAGCAATATATTCATTAATGTAAAATAAACACCATATAAACAAATTAATAGCCAAGTTAATATTTTTTGTGACAATCATATTTATTATAAAAATTACTATTTTTTAGATAAATGACATTGACTTTTATATCATTTATCTAACTATTAAAATTATATCAATTAAATAATAATAAACTTAAAACAAAAAATTCAAATCAACAGATTCGACTACTTTATAAATAAAGTATTGAAAATGCTAATGTTCTAGAGCATAAATATAGTTGTTACATTGCTTGCAAAACGTATTAAATAAATGTGTTAGATGTACAAAAAAAATATTTAACAAGTACCTTAACAAGTAATTATACTAATAACCAGCAAAACACATTTCAATAACTTATTTTAGTTAAGTAAAATTGCGCTGATTGGCTAATATCATGCAAGTATAAATAGATATAAATTAACTTTAATGGATTTATAATTTACAAATTAATTAATAGATTAATGTTTGAAATAAATTAAAACACTTTTATTAAAGCTGTTATAAGTTATTACTTATAACATTGTATTTCAATGTATTAAAATACTATCTCTTAAATAATAAATGTTATTTTCTGATTAACTGCAAAATTAATAAAATAATCCAAAAACTTGGGAATAATGTATTTCATTTATTAAAATATTATTTTTAAACTACAATTCAGTATGAATAATGTGGTTTATAGGATCGTTCGGCCCCCCTCCCCCTCCGCTCTATGAGAAATAACATGGGATTACATGGAAAGACTCTCATAGGATTAACATGGGGACGCTTTAACATGGGTTTCTATGGGATTACAGCTTAAGTCTATGGCATAGGAATAACATGGGCAATGCTAAGTCTATGTCATAGGGATAACATGGGTAATGCTAAGTCTATGGCAATGCTAATCTTATGGACAATGTTAAGTCTATGACATAGGAATAACATGGGCAATGCTAAGTCTATGGCACAGGGATAACATGGATAATGCTAAGTCTATGGCAATGCTAAGTCTATGGACAATGATAAGTTTATGGCATAGGGATACCATGGGTATTGGTATATTAACGGGACAATGGGATTATAAATGAATCTGCCATAAAAATAGAACTAATTGTTGTCAAAAACATTTAAAATTCTTAAAANCAATATCCGGGAAGTGATCGCATGGTATCCGCGGGTTATCATCGGATGGGATATACATTGCATTCAATTGAATCAAATCAAAGCCACTTGTTTTGCACAACAGGTTAGCCAATGACGCCCTCGACTTGATATTATCTAATTGGGCTGAAAATGTAATTAAGTATCATGAATCAATCAAATCATAATTCCCAATTAATATTTTACCAATACTAAACGACCCTGCCTGAGACGAGTGTTCATAAAAAAATCGATCACCAAATTTAAAGTGATAAAACTGTATGCCATTAATACAGGCCAGTGTTGGCCCTAACGTCGAGCTCTCCATCACAGTCTCGGCCAAACCGCCCACTATTAGGTCGATGTCACGAAAATCTCTGATCGTTTAAAATACCAAATGTTTTTAAATTATTTTTATATATTAATATTATTAATAATTAATACATATTTAATTATATTTACAACTACAACTATCCTTTCCTAATATATTACTGTAAGACCATAGTTCCCCAGGTAGGATATGAGCGGGTATTTCAGTGTAACATACTTTATATTCAATTTATTATTATCTGTATGCATTCAAACATGTTGTAACCAAAATATTAGATATGTATATTGTTGTACATTGTACATGTATATTGTTTTAATTAAGTATATTTAGTTGTTTAAATTTAAATTTTGTGAAAAATGATTTGCAAAATTATTATTTGTATTCTCATTAGCTCACTCGGTGTCACTCATTTGGTGACAATATTTAACAAATAAATGTAATGGTATTTGTGATTAATGTTTAGAATATTATTATAATAAACAAAAAATAATGCCTAGATAAAAACTTAGTTAAATGAAATTGCTTTTATTAATATGTGTAAGGCACATTTGGAATAAAAACGTTCTGAATATAAAATATTCTGAAAGGCTTGTGTAATGTTGTGCATATGTTTAGGAATAAAAATATCAGTGAAATATTTAAATGAATCTTTCATTTAGGCTAAAACTTTAAAATTCTATCACATTTTTTGAAACTTTAGCCTAAATTTTTATATAAATATGAAATTTTGACGTGTTTTTTAATTCGATACTTTAAAGTAGCTGAAATATATAATCCCTAGATTTTAGGCTAAATTTAATCCTAAAGATTTCCTAAATTTGACCACTACAATCCCTACATATGTTTAGTTATATTTTATCAGATGACATTACTTGTAAACGTCGCGCAACTCATTTAGTATAGCAATCGGTATTAATGGCTGCAAATCAGACCAGCGTTTGATGTGACGACCCGTACAGTACTGGACGTAATACACATATGGGGCCAACCCGTGATCCCGGGCCCGGAATATGTCTCTACCAAACAAATCACTAACACTGGGTTGGGACGGGTCAAAAAAGAAATAATTTCTCACATCGTCCACGTAATGTAGCTCGGTCACTTTTTCATGTTTTTCGCACAGGCCTTTAAGTATTCCTCTTCTCTGATTCGGTAATTAAATAAAACGGTTAAACATTAAACTAATTATATTAATAAATCATAATCATATTTTAGTTAGCCTTACATTTCCGTCCCATAGTTGAGACATTTGTTCAAAATTGAATCTTAATAAAAATGACGATGAATTCAACGGATCTCCATTGAGTACTGGAAATTGTGAGTTAATGTTGGAGTGCCCAAACCGAAATGCAGCTAGGCCATACTCTTGCACTGTGTCGGCGCTAACGGCGGGATTGTATTCACTAAACTTACCATAAGGTTTAACGTTGAGATCAAAAAAATTCAAAAACTTCTGGGGAAATACCGAGGGCAAATATTCAGCGTACGTTATTTGTGCGTATTCTGCGAGTAATAATCGCCTAACAAAATAGAACTGATATATTTACTATATTTACTGATATAAACTGGTTAAAAGCATCCAATGGCCAGAAACGACCGAGTGTTGTCCATAAGCATTATACGCGTAATTATAGAACTGGTCATAACTCGGCGGTTTCTGAGCATTGGTACATTTTGATTTTAACAAAAACATTGCATTTTGTCTATTGTATCACACTAACTATAACATGATAAATTATCGTAATACCAAAAAACTCAATTCCATAGAGTTTTAAGTAATAGTTTATGAATAAAATCCGAGTATAACTTATAATAATCACTTATGTTAGTTGTAAAGTTTACAATGTAAACTTCAGCTGTTTATGGTCATATTCATTTTTACTATTACTGTTCATATGAAAGTTTGACAAGTTTACATGAAATTAAAAATGACATGTAAACACCACTACTGTAAATCATTATTTTTCACCTAGCTTCCTGGTAAAGTATCTCATCGGTCCAGTGCTGGTTGATTAGCGCCAGACCATCGCAGTGTTGATTGTGGCGCAAAAGCAATGTGGTTACCATTGTGTTGATCACCACCTGCTGATTCACGCGATTACCATCGCCACCCTTTAGGCACCCGAGCCATGGCCTGTCCGCCGGTGGTGTGCATTGGTTCAGATCAAACATGTCCTGATCGCGGGGTAGTATTGCTTCGGGCATTATATCGTCGCCTTTCAACGATTTATTTGTTTGTAATTTTCCTATTTTGAGCAATAAATTAGACATGGTTTGAATAAATTAAACTTAGTTGGTGAGTAAAATAACATGCTCACCTCCGCTAAATGTGCGTACACTACGGGCCCGGGCATTGAAAAACCCATATAACTCCGACAAGTCCATTACAGGCGTAGTGGCCGTAATCTGGTCGCGGGCACCTGTATGTTTGATCAAATATTAGCTGGTATCATTATTTGTAAAGTCATTTTTACATAAATATAATATTTAAAACTTAACCAATATTGTTTACCTAAGCGACAAGTATTCCCGGCCATAGACCGTGAGTTCACAATACATGTCTGATTGTACGCCTGGAGCAACTGATCAGAAGGTAGAGGTGTATAGACAGAGGGACACTCCGGGTGCTGTGAGGGCGGACAACACGGTAAGTCATCACCAAAATATTGCAGGGTTTTAATGGTGTCGTGAGCTATCACTTGACCCCATATCATGTGAGCCGACGAGCGGCGCCTCAAGTTTAGGACAGTTTGTGTGGGCGGAGCCGACAACTGGTTGCTTATAAGCCGTTCGTTAGGCAACGGTTGCCGTCCGTCAGCCGCGCGCTGCCGCTCGGCGTTTACGCCGTCGGCAAACGCTGGCGGCAATAGCCGTCGCATTGTATGGAAAGCTGCGCCCCAATTGGTTTGCCGTTCATTATTACACTTGCCGTCAATGCGCCGGTATTTATAGGTAGGGTTACATTGGATACCAAGGCTTTGAGAGTATTGCAGGTCACAAAACTGGCCGTTGTCTGTATAGACAACACCCGGTGCTCGAATGCCCGGTAATTTCATTACAGTATCGTATTTTGACAAACATTTTCTAATATTATACATAAAATATAATTGTTAACATTTTGTAAATTCAATTCATATATTTGATACAATAAATATATTAATACAACAAATCTTATTAAAACATGTCCTAAAATTTAGGACCTAAATAACCCATGGTATAAAGTTTATACTATAAACCTTATCGTTTCATTATACAGTATTATATTTTATTATATCAATTTATAATAGTACATATATTCTATATACATTCTATATATATATTCGATATATTCTAACTAATGTGGTAAATAATCATACAAAGGTATACAGTGGCGTTTATTTAAATTTATTGTTATCTATTTATTATTAGATACCTAATACTTACCTATTTAATACCACACTAATTTATATTAATACTACATTATTACACTAATTTAATACTGTATATTCATTAAATAGAAAACATACGAATCTATAATAGCAAATAGCAAATAACATTAATCTCTATGAGGCCCACTTGGAATAGGGAGCAGTACGGGGAGCGATATAAATGATTGAATAAATAACGTTGTTTGTGCAGGGTTGTACTCGTTATGTAAAGTAATTGTACTCGCTTATAAATATACTGTATAATGTAATATAATGCTTACATTTGAGCCAGGTTTCTTGTGACCAGCTCGTTGAATTTGGTTTTGTAATTAGCGTCGGTTATAAAATGACTAAAATTTCCCAAATACGGATTGTCGGCCACCAATTGGCTGTCCATTTGGCGCTGACTATTGACCCCTTGAATGGCCGCCTCTATAGACACTTTTATGTCCCGATCGGTTATATCGGCCACATTTCCGACCGTTTCTGGCGTACAATTGCCCGCAAATACGGTGTCTGTCAAATACTGTCTGTATATTTGGTTTAATTTCGGGGAATATTCTTTGGTGTAATCAAAAACCCCTTTTGGTAATCCCGTTAAGAGTCCCGGAATTATACCATCATTTATGCCTAAATTATTAATTAAAATTATAATCATAAAGCATAATCTATTCCATGGTTTATGTACAAATACAATATTTTTAATTGCTTAATGACATACCATTAAATTGGGTAGCAATATATTCATCAATGTAAAATATACACCATATAAACAAATTAATAGCCATGTGAATATTTTTAGTGAAAATCATATTTATTATAAAAATTACTATTTTTTAGATAAATAACATTTTATATCTTTCACCTAACCATTAAAATTACATCAATTAAACGATAATAAACTTGAAATTTAAAAAAACTTTAAATCTCAATTTAACAGATTTAACTACAGTAGTTTATAAATATGGTACTGTATTGAAAATGTTAATTGTCTAGAGTTTAGAGCATAAAAATGGTTGTTACATTGATAGCAAGACTTGTTAAGTCTAAATGTGTTAGATGTGCAACAAAGTATTTAATAAGTAAATATACTAATAAGCAAGCAAAACATATTTCAATAACTTTTTTTAGTTAAGCAAAATTTTGCTGATTGGCCAATATCATACAAGTATAATTAGATATAAATTAGTTTTAATTGATTTATAATTTACAAATTAATTAATGAAATAAATGTTTGAAACAAATTAAAACACTTTTATTAAAGCTGTTATAAGTTATTACTTATAACATTGTATTTCAATGTATTAAAATACTATCTCTTAAATAATAAATGTTATTTTCTGATTAACTGCAAAATTAATAAAATAATCCAAAAACTTGGGAATAATGTTGTAATGTTACGTTTAACTGGCTAAGTACAATACATCATTTATAAAATTAAACATACAGTTAAATATTACAAAAAATTGAATAAAAATGTTTTCTATTATCACAGAATTAAAAATCTACAAAATAAATTTTGATAAAATAAGTGGTTTAAATAAAGATATGATTAAAATAAATACATTTTGAAATTCATTCCGAGGCCTAAAAACGTTTGGAAAATTTTAGGTGGTCTTCGAGTCGGACCAACTCTTCACTCAATTGCCACAACTGTTGCGCACTTTTATCGTCAGTAGCCGTCGACACCATTGCATCCACTCGTCGACAATTGCTATACAATTAAATCATAATTAATAACAACATAAATAAAAACTACAAACAAAAACAAAAACAAAACACTCACTCATAATAAAAACCCGACTCGTTATCCAACTTCTCTTCGAGGGCGCAGTACAGCGATGTTTGAGAGCCGCTCTCAATAGACAACCCAAACAACTGACAGATAAGTCGGACCAGAGTTCTCAGTGCCGGTGATTGTAGATTGCGGTGAAACTCGGTCCGAACCAATCCGGGATGTAGCGAATAGGCTGTGACCGTAGTGTCCCGACCCAGTCTACGGGCCAACTCCCGGGTAAACAACACGTTGGCCAGTTTGCTCTGGGAGACCGCATCCTTGGTATTGAAGGCCCCGTTCCGGAGGTTTATATTTTCAAAATTAATTTTGCCAAAAACGTGTGAACCCGCCGACACGCTTATTATCCGGGCTTTCGGGGCGTTTCGCAGTAATGGCAACACTGATAGTGTTAGCAGATAGTGGCCTAAAGTGTATAACAAAAAAAATGTTATATAATATTGTTAAAAATCATTTAATAATTACCCAAATGGTTGGTCCCGAAAGCCATTTCAAACCCGTCCTCAGTTTGCTGTTCGGTATCACAAGCAATGCCCGCATTGTTTATAAGTATATCTACTTTTGTCTCCCGTTTCGTGATTTCGGTCACGAATTGACGGACGGATTGAAGTGAAGACAAGTCTAACGGAAGTGAATATATGTCTGCCTTTGGGTT